ATTATCATATTTTTTCTTACTACCTCACGTATTATCACCTCATCCATTGTTACTTACATCATAACCTTCCTCCGATACTGCCACCAATCAAACAAACCACTCATCATTCCAATCAATCATCCAATCACCAAAAGCCCTTTATAACCAATCGTATGCCGTGCTCAACATGATAGCTCTAATTTGTACGCTTTATTTTTTTTATATTTTGTGTTCGTTTGACCCTTTCATGAAAGACGTAGCAAACAAGGAATTGTTGAATGTTGGTGATGCAGAGATGAAGGGCGAGAATGACGCGGAGAGCGAGAGTGTTGTTGGGAGAGGAGAGGTGATGATTGAAAGTAGTGCTGTGAGTAGCGGAGTGGGCGATATAAACGGCGATGGGGTGAGCGCACTTATAGAAAATGACGGAGTAATGAATGAAGGTGTGACGAGTGAAAAGATAACGAGTGGTAAAGACATGGACCGAAACATGGCAAGTGATCGGAATGAAAACGTGGCAAGCACGAACGGTAGCGCAGGTAAAAACGAATCATTTGCTGATGAAACGGTGTTTGCAGCACCTGAAAATGAGCATTGTGCACAGAAACACACACTCAACAGCAATTTTGATCTGCCATGGGATACGAGCAGATATTTGGACATGACCAAGCGAAAGGAGTACCTTGATCTGTACGAGCAGTCAATACGTGACAGCATTTTCTTCCTTAAGGAAGCAAAGAAACGGTTATCATGGTCCAAAGAGCCTACGCATTGCACAAACGGTGATTTAAAGGCCCTCGAGTATTTCAATGACGGTGAGATAAATGCGTGTTACAATGCGGTGGACAGGCACCCGCCCGGCAAGACCGCTCTGATATACGACAATGATGATGGCACGTCTGTACGGTATACGTATGGACAGTGCAGGGCACGAATATGCGAAGTAGCAGGCGCACTTCTTGAAATGGGCATACGCAAGGGTGACGTGGTGTGTGTGTACATGCCTATGATCGATGATACGGTGTTTGTTGCTCTGGCATGTGCACGTATCGGTGCGGTGCACAACGTGGTGTTTGGCGGGTACTCTAAGGAGAGCGTGGTTGTGAGGATCAAGGACTCGGGTGCTAGGGTGCTTGTGAGTGTGATGGAGGGACGGAGAGGAACACAGCGATTGAACTTCTATAAAATTGTAGAAGAGATAGTGGCAGAGGGTAGCGTGGGCATGGCACTGATCGTAGACAAGGAGGGGAGCATCAACGAGGAGGATCACGATAGCAAAAGTAGCACCACCACCGATAGCGCACCACAGGTGGGGAACAATCCTAAAATTGAAATTCTTTCCAAAATCAGCAAAAACACGGACGTACCGTGCACACCCGTGCCATCCGAACATCCTCTGTTCATTTTGTACACCTCAGGTAGCACAGGCAAACCAAAGGGCATAATTCACTCAACAGCCGGCTACCTGCTGTATGCTCATCTCACCACCCAGCATTGTTTCAGCACCGACAAGAGCAGCGTTTTCTGTTGTACCGCTGATTTGGGGTGGATCACCGGTCACTCATACGTTCTTTATGGACCGATGTGTGTGGGCATGGTGAGCGTTATTGTTGGTGGGCTGCCCACGTATCCGGATGTTTACAGGGTGTGGCGGATTATAGAACGGTACGGTGTTACTCATTTTTACACTGCTCCTACGTTGCTGCGGTTGTTAAGGAAATTGGTGAGCGAAGAGGAAAGGAATGGCACTGTTGGTGAGGTTGGGACTGTTGGTGAGGTCAACACTGTTGGTGAGGTCAACACTGGCACCGATATTACCGGTAATGATGTGAATGGTGGTGCCAATCCCGACACATTGAACAGGCACTCAACAGCTTATGTCGTGCCATCCCTCAGGAACTACAAAAAGACAGGCACGCACAGAACAGCGGAGTACGATCTGTCATCACTGCAGATTCTGGGAGTGTCGGTGAGCCGATCAACAAGGAAACATACGTTTGGTACAGCCAGACCTTCAACCGTAGGCCCATGATTGATTGCTACTGGCAGACCGAAACAGGAGGTATTGTGGTGTGCCCTGTGCCTTATGTTGATGAGGAAGTCGCAGAATGTGCGGGGCGCGGTTTTCTGGGTGTACGAGTGTTCGTTGTTACAAAGGAGTGCATGGCAAAGGATGGTGGTGATGGTAACAGCGGCATTGGTGCTGCAGGCCAGATGATGAGGACAACGTAGCTGCCTCCAATCCCGGCACCACCAGTAATTCACGTTCCGCACAGCAGGACAGAAACAGAACAATGTACTCGTATTGGACCGATGAGATTGCGGATCACTTCAGGAAAGAAGGCCTCAGACTGGCAGATGAGAACGAGTTGGGCCTTATTGTGCTGTACGGTACATGGCCGGGCATGACACGCACGATACTGAACGATCATACTCGATTTGTAAACACGTACGTTAAGCACGGCGTGTACTTCACGGGTGATGAAGGCGTGTTCTACCGTGGTAAGCTGTTCGTGCGTGGCCGTGCAGATGACATAATAAACGTAAGCGGCCACCGCATAAGTACGGCTGAGGTGGAAAGCGTGTGTGCACAGTACGTAGATGGCAATGAACGGGTGATGGAAGTTGCGATGGTTGGTGCTCCCGACGAAATAACGGGTCTGAGCATCGTTCTATTCGTGGTCGGTGATGTAGGTGAGGAGAAACTACGCATGTTCCTTAAAAGACGCATCGGTGCGATCATCAATCCGAAGCGGATTTACTTCGTGAAAGACTTGCCCAAGACAAGGACCGGCAAGATTATGAGAAGGGTGCTGAAGGGGCTGATCTGCGGAGAAGATGTTGGCGATTTGAGCACGATTGGTAACGAAGAGTGTATCGATGAGATAAGGAAGGTTGTGGCAGGCTAATGTAGGGCTGCTGATGCAGGCAGGTCATGGGGAGTGTTCTTGGTTCGTGCGTACCAATATTCGAGTTGTTGATCATAATTTTTTTCGTTCCCGGTGAGGTTCTTCATAGGCACACCGGGTTGATAGAATGGCTGTGATCAAATGATCGTGTTTGCGACGCACCGTGAGATGGCACAAATACGGCTACTCGATCCGACCGCGTGATCAAATAACCTGGTAATGATGCACAAAGTGGTGATAAACGGCAGCTTTGTGTGCTGACCGCTTCGTATCATCGTTGAAACGCTCTTACCGCCCCTGCACTGCGTCTTTTCATGCGATGCTTTGTACGTAGATAAAGTGATAAATGTGTATTTGTGGATCTTTCTTGATCCTTTGATTTGTTTATGCCTTGCTATTTATAGACTGTGATTTTATGCGTTTATTGTTCTAGATCGCTCGTATTTATGCGCTTTTGTTAAGATCATATTTGAGCGTGACTTCCGTTGCAATCTTTTACATCGGTAAAAGATCGAAGAACTCTCCGAACAGGTCGGCGCTTACTCAGATGCAACGGATCATTCACCAATATAAACGAAGACA